TCAGCTACAGATAACTGAACACTTTTAGAAGAGGACAGAGGTGGAGAGCCCTCGTCAGTGGCAGTGATTGTAATGTTGTAATCAGACACTAGTTCGCGGTCCAGTTGTCCTGTGGTCACCAGAGAATAATAGTTTTTAATAGAAGGAACCAACTTAAAGGGGACACCCTGCTGGATGGAGCAGTGGACCTGCCCGTTATTCCCGGAGTCTTTGTCCTGAACATTAATAATGCCCACCTCTGTACCAGGTGGCACGTTCTCCGGTGTGGGGTTAGTGAGTGATTTTAGATATATCCCTGGTGCATTATCATTTACATCAGTCACATCTATTAACACTTTGGCGTAAGAAGTTAGACCTAAACCATCTTTCGCTTCTGCTCTCATTTCAAAATAATTTCTGTCTTCAAAGTCAATCACAGCAGTTACTTTAATTTCTCCCGTTTTAGGATCAATTGAAAATATATTTATGTCGTCGTCAGACACGTGACTTAAGTCATACGTTACATCTCCGTTCAGTCTTTCGTCTGCGTCTGTGGCACTGACTTTAATCACTGTTGTATCTAAAGGACAGTTTTCAGGCAGACTGGCTTTATAAACGGCCTGGCTGAACACTGGGGCGTTATCATTGGCATCCAGCACAGTGACGCGTATGACTACGGAACCGGATCTCTGAGGAGATCCACCGTCCAACGCTGTGAGAAGTAAATTCATCTCGCTTTGTTTCTCTCTATCAAGAGTGTTTTCTAGTATGAGTTCAACCTTGTTGCTGTCAACAGCCAGAATAAAGTTGTTGTTCTTTTGAAGCTCGTACCTTTGCACAGCATTTTGACCTATATCTGCGTCACGGGCCTGCTCTATTGAGAAGCGGTTACCTTTGTCTGCTGACTCGCTTATTTCCATCTCAATCAAATTCTTTTTGAATTTTGGCGAGTTGTCGTTCACGTCTTGTATATGAAGACTTACACGATGAAGCTCTAACGGATTTTCTAACACCAGATCCACTTGCACAACACATGAAGGTTTCTTGGCACAGAGGCTTTCTCTGTCGATTCTCTCCAATGTGATCAGATCCCCCGTTCTCATATTAATATCACAGTAACGCTTATGAGTGCCCTCAAAAGTAACACGAGCCTTCCGGGAAGATAAAGTCCTCAAATCAAAACCGAGATCCTTTGCTATATTTCCAATTGCCGAGTCTCGTTTAATCTCCTCGGGAAAGGAATAGCTCAGATCTCCACAAACGAGGTGCAGTATTACAAAAATGGAAGAAATGCAGAAGATCGGGCCTTGTGCTGAAAATCCTTTGTCCCGCATCTTGACAAAAATCGACCGTCAATTTCAAAGAAAATGTACTGTGCAGCACAAAAAAGAAGGTCGGACCAAGACAACTAAATGTTCGGTTATTTGGTAACAATTTGCGACATCTCTATCCGGGATTTTACCAGATTATCCAGACAGTTTACAACTGATTTCGATGCAATAGTGGGTGGAGTGGCGAGAGATTATTTTCTGTTAGACAAGGGCGACACCACGAGTTACTTTATCATCTTCACACCAGAACGTATTGAAATATTTTCGCAATTTAAATCCGGATTGTGGCAGCAATTCATCATATTTAAATTACCTGTGATTATCATCTTAAAACTTTCGTGTGATTTCTGCAATATAATAGACTAAGCACGGGATGAAGGTCTTCACTTCACAGGTATACCGTATGTCTGTCCGTGTAAACGAGATTTGGATTGTAACTTATACATATATTGCCTTTGCTTTTGCTAGGTAAAAGTTTGCATAAACCGTATTCCTAAACATTATTATTGCGAAATGTTTAAATCTCCAAAAGAGAGGGCCAACATAACTTTGAGTGTATAAACACTGTACATTTTTAACAGTAAAAGAACACATTGTCCTAAAGTGCGTCAGGGCATTTGGATGAGTTACAATACATTATACATTTTGTTACATATGAAAATAATTAATATAACAGAAATGCGTTCTGAATAACCGAGACACAAAAATACATTTTCCTACTGGGCTGCGCGAGAACACCAGAAGAGCCTTTCAGTGCCACACAGAGCTGTTTTTACATTTTATCTTGTTAGGGCCAACTGTTTCAAGAGTATGTAACAATAATAATAATAATAATAATAATAATAATAATAATAATAATAATAATAATAATAATTCGTCCATTCATAGTCATGAAGCGAAAACCATGCCTGG